GGTTTTTACTCATCAAGTTCCATCATCTGGGTTCGAACACGGGTCTGTATTTCAACAGTTCAATGGTGTACCCACTGAGCTACGCTCTTGGGTAAATATGGCAAAACCTTATTCGACCGAATGTTGAATATTGAGAGTTGACACAGCTAGGTGTGGATCAGGACAATAAAAGAAGGGTGTCGATCATCACTGTGTCTTCTACGCTCTATCATTTTGACGATATTTGGACTTGGATAAGAAAAATGTACCGCCTATCTTTGGGAGTTTGTGTTGTCGCCTGCCGAAGGTCTCTCAAGAAACAAAGAAAACCAGAAGTCCACAGCAGATTGAATCTCCTACCTACACCCGGCCCAACGAACACATACTAACGGACTTACGGCCACGAAGTGGGAGACTGGAGCTTGAGTGAGAAACCCAAACAAAAACGCAAAACAGATGAAAGAAAACATGCACAGGCCCAGAGTTGTCGTTTTTTGTGGGTCATCGTTATGCATCTTATCATACTTGCAAAGTCAAATAACATCAACGGCTTCTATGCAGCGTAGAAAAGGTCCGAATGTGGTAGGATTGTTTGGGTTATTACGACCTTTAGCAGATGATTTGAAATTAATGATAAAAGACTCAAAAAGAGCCTATTCTACCAAGTAGTGCTAATTTATTCATCTTTATAATGGCTTCAGTCGCCTGTACCTGATCTGGAGAGTCGACCAAATACAGATATAATGAGTGGGTGTCGTGTTCAGGGGAAGAAGGCAGTCAAATGCAAAAGACTAAACAGAGAGACCTTCACTGCTGAGCCCTATGTATTGAAAACGGGTACAAGGGGGTTGGCCATACCAGAAGATGTCCCACGTTGGCATGGAGTACTGCAGGGGTAATTAATCGCCAGATCTGCCCTGCTTCTATCAAACTGTTAACCTTGAAACACATGCCAAGTCCAAACAGAGACAAGGAGAAGAATGAAGAGGGAAGGAGAATCAAGTGCGTGTGTTGTGTGTGTGCTGTGTGCGTGTGTGTGAAGGGAAGGGTGGGAGGGAGGATGGGG